CAAAGCCCTAGTAGTTCCCTAAGCCCGAAGCCCTAAACCCTATACAACCCCATGACAGTAGTTTCCATTTTCGTTTCCATTATCACTAATATTACCCCTCCTAAAGATTCCAGGCCTGCACCTTACACCACGAGATTCCGGGAGCTGAGAGCGAGCTTTGTGCACCCAGAACCCAGAAGGCTTATAAAGTCCAGCGTATGGCCCCTACTATGGGCTTGCATTTACCTAGTGTATACCTCAAATGAGGTGCCCATGTTTAGGATCTTTCAAGGTTTCCCTCATCCGAGGTTCCTCTCACCTTTTGACCCTAAACCCTCAACCCTAAACCCTCAACCCTAAACCGAGGTTCCTCTCACCTTTTGCCTGTCGACGCCCGTGCCTGTGCTTTCTCGATGTCGTCAGCATCAACCAGGCAGGCCTATGGCTCAGGGTGATGGGGAAAAGGGTTATAAAGGCGGTTATTATAGGGGTTACGTATGGATTATTATAAGGGTTCTATAGGGGTTATGTTATAAGGGGTTAGTCGTCCTCCCTCCTCCTACACCAATAAACAAAATTGTATTGGGGTTATATGGGGAAAATGGAAACGAAAATGGCAGCTACTATAATGGATTATACAGGGCTTCGGGTTTAGGCTATTCCTACACCAGAAACAAGAACCGCAATGAGCAACAGCGACGATGACGACGAAGGCAACGGCGACGACCACGACAACCACGACCACACCCACCACCACCGCAGCCGCCGCCGCAACCATCACCGCCAACTTCTTCTGTTATTGCTATTCCTCCCCTCCTTGGTCCTACTCCTACTCCTGCTCCTGCTTCTACTCCTCTTGCTACTCCTGCTGCTGCTCCTGCTACTGCTACTGCCACTGTCACTGCTACTGCCATTGTCACTGCTACTGCTGCTGCACCTGCTACGGCTGCTGCACTTGCTACTGCTGCCACTGCCACTGCCACTGCCACTGCCACTGCCACTGCCACTGCCACTTCCACTGCTGCTACTGCTACTGCTACTGTGACTGCTACTGCTATTGCTGCTATTGCTGCTATTGCTGCTGCTGCTGCTGCTACTGCTGCTACTGCTGCTACTGCTACTGCTACTCCGCGTCCTCCTCTTCTTCTCCTTCGCGTCCTTCACCTCTTCTTCCCCCCCCTCTGACTGTAACAAGAAGTACAGCACTTCTACTGTTTCGTCTTCTTCTTTTCCAGCACTGCCGCCACTGCAACCGCTGCCGCCGCCAGCACAACCGCTGGGGCTGCTGCCCGGACGCTGGCGTCGAAGCCGCAAACAAGGGCAAGGACGAGGGATGGCTAGGACGCACGACGACAACGTCTATTGCTGCAATAGCACGTGAGATTTTTGTGGCAGATGCTATTCTTGTCGAATCTGTTTCTGCCGTGCATGTGCCGATCTCTGCTTAATCTTTGCCATGATTCTTGCTCTGCAGCAACACTTCTCACCAGGACCGCTTGAATTCCATTATCTCCATATAGCCCCAATATAGTTAAGGGGGACTGTAATGCTCTCCTAAACCCTGAACCTAAACCAGGACCATGTTTCGATCTTCATTTCCCGCAGCTCCGTGTGAGGTCAACGCGGACCTGACGGCACAAGGAGTATACGGGATCGGCGGACGCTGGGATTGTTTTATAGTAATAGTAAAAAATAAGTGATAGTAATAGTAAATAGTAGTAGTAATCATAGTAGTCTTAATAATGATAGTAGTGATATTAATAATGGTAACAATCATAGTAGTAAGAATAGTAATAGCAACAATAGTGCCTTCAACCCTCTTTAGACTCCGTGGACGCTCGACTACCCAATCTGCTCCGTAGCAGGAGGCAAGGGCTGTGAACGTTGAGATGGCAGCTATGTCTTCGTTGTAAGGAGTGGTTTCTCAAGCACACCTAGACTCTAGACCACCTTTAGAAATACCGGCTTCTTTCGCAAAGTAGTCTCAAGAAAGCCGATATAGTAAGTAAGGCTTTCTGTAGTTTGCGCCGTTCTCGCAGCAGCCAAGGCTTTTTAAGTGTGGCGCGCGAGCTGCGAATCTTGTGGTCTGCGCCATACATGTCGGGGACTTGGTTGCTGAAAGTCCTGGGCTGCTCCGGTTTTTGAGGGAGTATGTAATCAATTTCCTCTTACTCATACTAAACACACTCCCGCTCCTGCTATTAAGTATTCCCCGTACAGGCCTGATCTATTGGGGGGCATCTCTAATCCTAGGGTTGCCGGGATGCATAGCATGAGTAACGTTAGTATGAAGTGATTAGCCCTATTAGCTTTGCAAGCCGGGTGTTTCGAACAGCAGGAGCCCAGCACAACCCCCTTCCAGTCCCCAGGGCTCATATCATGTATCCACAGACCCCAGCTTTACCGCAAAACCCTGAACTCAGACCCATACCTACTTGAGCTATAGTCTAAAATTATTAAAAGGGTTATATAGGGTGTTATATAGGGGAGTATTTTAGGGGTTATTAAGGGGGATACTAGGAGTTTAGACTATGGCACAGGTAGGGGTTTCCCAACATTATGGGTACCTCTTTGGGGGTCCCTAATACAAGGCTAATAAGGGCTATTGTATATTGGGGTCTATATTGGGATCCCCCTATTTAGGGAAACCACCAAATGTTTGTACGACCCCCTAAACCCTAAAGATATTGTCAGCCATGGGGTTGAGTTCCGCAGTTTGGAACATGTTTCAAGATTTCTGGGATTGTACGGGGAGAATGCAGGACAACTGTAATACCTGAGCTACAGTTACACTCCCCCTTAAGTAGATAGAATATGGCTTTGGGTATATTTTGATTTTATTCCTACATACCCCAGGACTATACCGCCTTCGAATTCTTTTTGCAAACTAATTAACGTATTTCTCATGCGCCTCGGACCAGAGTTTCGAAGCAGTTGCCTGCTAAAGGAAGGGCTGTGTGCGGATGCGGATGTTGAAGTATTCGGGTGTGTACCAAAGTTCTTGGTAATATTTGGGCGGGCGGGTTGGGGGGGTGTTCCAAAGTCACGAACCTTTTTTCTCAAACATCACTTTGACTTTTAAAGCCATCTACAAGGGGTAGGTACCTCCATTAGGATGCCCCTAAACCCTAAGCCTCGTACCCTAAACCCACAAGCCCAAACCAACTTATCATTACTTAGGGTACTCAAATTTCCTTCAAAATGCCTCCCCCCAAACCGTACGTGATGGTAATAAACCTGAAGCCTCGAACCCTGGACCCAAACCTTAAACCGCGCCCATGAGCTACTCACCTGTAGACTTCTATGATGTTGGGTTTAACCCAGACCCGTGATTAATACACTCCCTGCACTAAATAGGGATTATTATAGGGATCCTTATTTTAAGGCCCTTCAATGGAGGGGGTTTATTATTCAAGGCTCTACATTGGGGTTCAGGGTTTGGTATTGGCACCTGCTTGAGGATCAGGTGTATAGCTGCAGATTTTTCAGTGCAGGTTTCTACAGGTTGAGTGAAGATGTGGAATTCTCGACGCTTGTCAGGACCCCGAAGCCCTAAAACATAAGTCCTAAACCTTAGACCGCTCAACAGCATCCTACAAGTTATGCCATAGACCCATACAACTTTTAGTTGTTCTGTTGCTACTGGGCTCAAGGCAGGCTTCTAAGTTGGACATCTACATGCTGTTGGATTTCTTGTTGGGTTGTAGTCATGGAACTATGATGGTACCAAGCAATACCATCCAAAATTGAGTCCTACCCTGGCAAGAACCTGAAGTCAGCGATTGTTCTTCATGGTGGCTTGGTCGGCTCCCTGCTAACCACTGGCAAATTTTACGGTTTAACGCCCGGAGCACAGTCAACTGAGGTCACGGCTTTGGTGTATCTTCGAGCTAGCCGCATATCGCCGCGCGAACCCAGGTGAGAAGAAGAAGAAGAAGAAGTAGTGCTGGTAATAGTGGTAATGGTGGTGGTGGTATTGGTGGTGGTGGT